ATTAAAAAAAATAAAAAAATTGTTTTTTAGATCTATCAGAAAGATTATTTTTTTAAAAACGAATTTTGCGAACAAGCATCACGATTGTCAACAATTCTGTAAAAAAAAAAAAACCTTGTTCGTAACAGTTTTAGAAAAATTCTTATTTCTAATTTGTTTATTTTAAAATAAATTCTGTGGATTTTTTTTGTTTTTTGTTTTTAAGTGTTATAAAGTAAATCTAAGATAGGGGCGACCAAATCATGGGTTGGAAAAAACGGGACGCTCTCAAGGACGGTTTTTTTTTCTTCTTTTTTTTCCTGGGGGTGTGGTGGGGGGGGGGATACCTTCCAGCTAAAGAGGGGTCCGGCGGCCTCCACCGGAAACTCGTTATTGAAATCTGCTCATTGTAACTATGAAATCTGCTCATTGTAACTATGAAATCTGCTCATTGTAACTATGAAATCTGCTCATTATAACTATGAAATCTGCTCATTGTAACTATGAAATCTGCTCATTGTAACTATGAAATCTGCTCATTGTAACTATGAAATCTGCTCACCGTAACTATGAAATCTGTTCATTGTAACTATGAAATCTGCTCATTGTAACTATGAAATCTGCTCATTGTAACTATGAAATCTGCTCATTGTAACTATGAAATCTGCTCATTGTAACTATGAAATCTGCTCATTGTAACTATGAAATCTGCTCATTGTAACTATGAAATCTGCTCATTGTAACTATGAAATCTGCTCATTGTAACTATGAAATCTGCTCATTGTAACTATGAAATCTGCTCATTGTAACTATGAAATCTGCTCATTGTAACTATGAAATCTGCTCATTATAACTATGAAATCTGCTCATTGTAACTATGAAATCTGCTCATTGTAACTATGAAATCTGCTCATTGTAACTATGAAATCTGCTCATTGTAACTATGAAATCTGTTCATTGTAACTATGAAATCTGCTCATTGTAACTATGAAATCTGCTCATTGTAACTATGAAATCTGTTCATTGTAACTATGAAATCTAACCTAGAAATCTACTTGGGGCAATCATATCTTTTCCTATATTTCACTGATATAATATAGTTCCACTCTTTGGAATACTACTCCATAAACTTACATTGAAGCTTGGGCATAATTATTGTCCACACGAGAAGGTAATATTAAATTAAAGAATAAAGTTCAACACCGTAAACACACACCTGTCACTCTTACACGAACAGGCCGCCAGGGATCACACGTAAGACTGTCACTCTGACACGAACAGGCCACCAGGGATCACACATAAGACTGTCATTCTGACACGAACAGGCCGGTAGGGATCACACATAAGACTGTCATTCTGACACGAACAGGCCGGTAGGGATCACACATAAGACTAACACATTGCACGTAGCGGTCGTGGAATCAAAATTGTTTTCTGCACAGTTAAATCCTCCCCTCCACCCTGCGGCTTCAAGTCTCGTGTCTTTCACTATACATTTACATATAAGATCTATGGCAGGGACACTGGTGGAGGGGGAACAGTGCAGCCATCACGCGAGCCCACATCACTACTGGTACTGACCACACTGCTAGCCAAAATAATACTTAGTTATATTATAAATTAGGAAGTTTTAGCGATTAGAAAATGTGTTTGGTTTAAAAAACGGGACATTTAGGCGTCCCGAGAGACTTTTTCGGGACAACGGGTACGATTTTCAGAAAACGAGACAATCCCATTTTTACGGAACGTTTGGTTACCCTAAACTAAGCGGCACATTATTTTGTTTGACTATAGAGTATAGAGCGTTCAAAAAGAAATTTGACGAAAATTTGTACACGTGAGCTGAAAAAAAGATTCGATCTAATTTCCGTTCGATCTATTTTCCGTCGACGAAATTTATTTCGATAAAATTTCCGGTAACTGTTTTTTTGGCTATCATCCACACACTATATACCATTGGGTTAGCCAGATGCGTTCGAACATAGACACTTTTATCTAACCCCCCCCCCCCCTTTTCACAGAAATATAGCAAAGTAAAAGCTGTGCACTTTAAAAAAAAAATTAAAAAAATGATTATTATGTTTTTAATGAACTTTTGGCATATAATTTTATCAATCCACGATTTCTAAAGTTTGAGGACTTCATGAATACAGGGATATTTCTTTAAATTAGTTTATTATTTTTGGGACATGTTGCTGACAAACTCTCTATTTTAAACAGAATTTAATAATAGCAAGAATATTATATCTTGGATCTTTGACAGCATAGATTATAAAACAATCACATGGACATTTCGAATGACTTCTTCCTCGAACAAAGCACGTGATTTTGACAAGGAGTTACTTTTAAATTAAGTTTTTCTTAAAATTTGAAAACGCTACTTAGTATGAGATGAGATAGAGCTCCTCTCATTACAAATGAAAAACAAAAAGACTTCGCTTTATTAACCAGATACCTCCAAGGCGAGCTCTTTTCTACTCTCACGGCTTGAACGAGATCTCTGCGACAATGAGGCATGATAACAAAATCAGCTTGAGAATTTCTTTAACACACACACACACACACACACACACACACACACACACACACACACACACACACACACACACAAACACACACACACACACACACACACACACACACACACACACACACACACACACAAACACACACACACACACTACAAAATCAGCTTGAGAATTTCTTTAACACACACACACACACACACACACACACACACACACACACACACACACACACACACACACACACAAACAAACAAACACACAAACACACACACACACACACAAACACACAAACACACACAAACACACACACACACACATGTATGCATATATAAATATAATTATATGAAAACTGATTGATCAAAAACTGTTAAAAATCTTTACGAATATCAGTGAAACATCACCCTAAAACTGGCCTTGGGGGGAGAATTCGTTTAGAAATGTATATACAACAATTAGTGACCAGCAAAATTCAATGCAGGCAACCCATCATACGCCTGTAGTTCCAAAAATGAATGTTGACATCTGTTATAAGTTTCACTTGTTGCGTCATGTCTACAATGTTGTGTGCAGCCATCGATTTTCATATACTATTATCACAGTCATGAAACCTAGCCCCTGCTGGAACAATTTTACCTAGCCCCTGTTGGAACAATTTTACCTAGCCCCTGTTGGAACAATTTTACATAGCCCCTGTTGGAACAATTTTACCTAGCCTTTGTTGGAACAATTTTACCTAGCCCCTGTTGGAATAATTTTACCTCGCCCCTGTTGGAACAATTTTACCTAGCCCCTGTTGGAACAATTTTACCTAGCCCCTGCTGGAATAATTTTACCTTGCCCCTGTTGGAACAATTTTACCTAGCCCCTCTTGCAACAATTTTACCTAGCCTTTGTTGGAACAATTTTACCTCGCCCCTGCTGGAACAATTTTACCTAGCCCCTGTTGGAAACATTTTACCTAGCCCCTGCTGGAACAATTTTACCTCGCCCCTGCTGGAACAATTTTATTTCGCCCCTGCTAGAACAATTTTACCTCGATCCTGCTGGAACAATTTTACCTAGCCCCTGTTGGAACAATTTTACCTAGCCTTTGTTGGAACAATTTTACCTAGCCCCTGTTGGAACAATTTTACCTAGCCTTTGTTGGAACAATTTTACCTAGCCTTTGTTGGAACAATTTTACCTCGCCCCTGCTGGAACAATTTTACCTAGCCTCTGCTGGAACAATTTTATCTCGCCCCCGTTGGAACAATTTTACCTAGCCCCTGCTGGAACAATTTTACCTCGCCCCTGCTGGAACAATTTTATTTCGCCCCTGCTAGAACAATTTTACCTCGATCCTGCTGGAACAATTTTACCTCGCCCCTGCTGGAAAAATTTTACCTAGCCCCTGTGGGAACAATTTTACCTCGCCCCTGCTGGAACAATTTTACTTCGCCCCTGCTGGAACAATTTTACCTCGCCCCGGCTGGAACAATTTTAC